AAACGTGCAAAGCAAATAAAATGATTTCACAGTGTTACATGGGAAAATCATGATATTGAATGGAGGGATTCCACTGTTTTGAAGAACATCCCGAGGCTCGGTACCTTGTAACAGAGATCCAATCGATGCCTGTGGCTTTAATCACATCTAAGTTTAATGCTAGCCACATCTCCGAGGTCTAATGCTTTACTTTCACACCAAATTACTTTTTAGCCCAGGGCACATTTTCTGAAAAAAAAAAATGTATCTGTGGTCACAGCTTGAACAGTACGGCCATGATCCATTGATTGACACACGGCTAAAGGCTGAATCCCACTGGAGAGGATTCCTTGTAAAGCACATACAGTATGTGTGAAACAGTGTGTCTGTTTCTGTGGAATTACTGCACATATTTATTACAGAGTACGGTGCCCAAAGCCTTACGACAACTTTACAGCGAGCCTAGATTCAGGTGCAGACTAGTGCTGAACACAATCACAACCCCTTTATCAGGTTTGGTAGCAGTTTCTTATTGAACCTCCAACAATTGCCAATAATCCGATGAGAGAGTGAAATAAACCTTGGAACTCTGGTAGTTAATTAAAATCCTCATTGGAAATTTGGTTCATTTCATTTCATCATTTTAGATCCATTCCTCCAGTTTCACTTTATCATTCTGATTCCCCTGAAAACTGGATTTGCCTGTATGGTATTACTCCTGAAATAGACAATATTCTCAAATGCATTGTATATCTGATTTTTAATAATAAAGGATTGTCTTGTAATCCAAAGCAACTCGCAAGATGAAGCGCCATGCTTTAAAAGAACCAGAGTGCCATCATGTGGAGGACATATTTAACTGCAGGGTGCTGTGTGGACTGCATTATATAAAACTGTTACACTATTACAAGTATTTACAGGAATGACAGCATATTTCAGTGACCTAAGTTATTGTTTTTTGAAACTGTGTATTTTCTGTTTAGAGACTTGATTTAGTAGAAGAAGAAAAAAACATCCCTCATGTCCCTGGTGTAAAAAGAGGACAGTTTCAGTTGGTTCCTCCAGATGTCTCTCTTTACCCAAGTGTATTTGCATATTTGGGAAATCACACAATTCCAAACAGTGAGGATCTAGGGGATGGACAGTTGTTCAGATGGCACTGAATGTACACAAATACATGCAAAGTCCAGAATATACAATGTCTGTCCATTTTCCATATATTGTAAATACTGGTATGTTGGCATTTGCACATTTATGCACTCTTCTCAGTGCCAAGAGCTGAACCATGTTCTGCTATTGTAATCTAAGGGTCTGCTGTGGTTATAGAAATAGCACACAGAGCTGGGTTGGCCCATAGACATAAAAACTGCAACTAAGTGAATAAAAATACAATTTTTAGTTTAAAGAAATGAGGCGGGTGTTAGAATTCCAGACAATACTTAGTAAGTGACTACCAGATAAGCAGCATTTGTTTTTGGATCAGTTTTGTGGGATTACAAAAGAATAATTTTGTTATGCTACTTATAGAGGCATCCTTTTACCACCTTCCTTTATACAGAGTATCTGATGATTGGAAGATCACTTCCATGTATTTCCCTTTGCCAGGAGACAGTTCACAGAAAGCTGAGAGGACACAGGGAGAAGAAAGGGAGATAAATGATAGGCCTCATTATAGAGCTATTGTTTCATATCTGTTAAAAACACAGTTGGTTAAACTTGATTTCAACAGCTAAACCAGCACAGCGGACACTGACCAGAAACAATGACGTGGTCAGAGGTCAACATTCATCACGGAGATAAAACAGACAACTCTAAAAGGACTTTTCCAGTGATGACTCAGTGCGAGGAATGCCGGTTTACTATCAATCATGCTACTGATCGTGTAGGAGATCTCGCCTAAGATCTCAGGCCTTGACTCAGCTCAGCTGTACTGACACATTGTGCTGAGAAGATGCAGAATGATCTTCAAAGTTTTTATATCCTTTTGTTCTCCTCAGCCCTCCTCTGCTGACTATAATCCCACCCTTCTTTTCCAAAGTCCCCTGGGTTTTCCCAGTCAGAAACACTGCTCTCTGAAGAATTTGGAAGCACCCAGATGAGTGGAAATGGTGCCAGGGTGCTTTTCTGTCACTTTTACTGACCCAAAAACACAGCCAAGTTCAGTTCACCCCGAGGGCCCGTATAGAAAGTTACAAATAAACAACGCACTGATAAAGAACTGGGGTGAATATCTGCATCATCGAAGTTTAGATTTTTGACAGCCACAAAACACAGAGATGCAGGAACCTACTGAGCCACATGCAAAACTAGGCCGGACAAATGCTGAATGCTAAAAATGCCGAAAATGCCAAAAAACATTTAATGTTTTATGAAGAAAGTCCATCCAGAGTGCACTTATGACTTAAATTCCTAAAAAATCTGCTGTTTCCTCCCTTGCTCTAAAACAGGAAGTAGAACTGTGCTTGCCTTCCGCTCGTCTTGTTTATTGGAACCCGCCTTCCTGTTTTCAGATTCATCCTGATAATGGCTGAAAGTCCCCAGCTGAAAGCCTCCCTCTCTCTCTCTCTCTCTCTCTCTCTCTCACACACACACACACACACACACACACTGTCAAATCCCCCTCATTCCTTTTTTTCCCTCCCTCCCTGCACCTCTTTCTCCCTCTTGCTGTCTCTCAGATCACTGCTAGATAAGTCATTTTGTGAGACCTTCCAATCACCAGCAACATTCAGACCTTTCAGCACATTCCAGCTGTCCGTATGCGTGTGCCAACTGAGGTGGTATTTATGTGTGTGTGTAAGTGTGCAAAAAAAAAAGTCCCATGATTGATTAACCCAAAGTGATTGGAAGGTTCAAAGAGTCAAATGTCAAAGCGTTAGCTTGTAGGATGAGCTCAGATGTGTGTGTGTGTGAGTGAGATCTGGGGATTGTGCCATGTGCACCCAAGCCAAGGAAATATGCAGGTCAGTGCAGAGGGAATGTCAGGAATGTCAGTGTAATTCAAACTCTTGTCTGCCACCGGAGGCGAGTGCTACCTGGAAATACTTTTTACACCAAAAGTGGGCAAATATGGGTGTGTGACTTTACATCAGAGCATGGTCATGCATAAGGAGTGTTATACACGGTCGTGACAGCCCACTGGCTTCTCCTGCCAGCAATCGGCGCCATCTAGGGACATGTGCTAAAGTTCCACAGTGTTTTCCAAACACCTGCACCGAAAAACAAGATTTCCCCGACTTCCCAGCTGTTCTCACATGACCTACACCTCCCAAATCCAGTTCCCAAGCTTTTAGTAAGCCTTTCATTTGATATCACAACATATCGGCCAACCCCTCCCTCCCTCCCTCCTTCCCTTCCCTGTCTGTCTGGCTTTTTCACGGCAGCCTGTTTTCACTCAGCGGCTTTGACAAAGACTGGCGAAATAATTACAGCTGGGCCTAAACTGGGTTTGTCTCCAGTAATCTCCACCAAAAACCAATGAGTGCGGACCGTGTCATAGGAAGAGGAGGAAGAGGCTGATTGTTCTGAAAACGAGAAGCCAGTGACATCATTTCAAAGAGCTCTGTTCCGAGTGTTCAACACTCGGGGTAAATGGGCAACAAAATAAACTCGCTGTAATGCACGCAGCTCGCCAGACACCAACAGAACTTATCATTTCAGGCAGAAGCCCATCTCAATTCATCGCCCATTTCCCCGCTTTCTTTTCCCTCATACAAGATGCTGCTTTAATGAGTTTATTTTCCAAAGATCAGAGGCTGCTTTTTCTGTCTGTACAAACCAGATCTGAGCTGAAACATTTGTCCCGTTTCAGCCAGGATGTCTTTTGTGATGGCCCGGGGACAGCAGGAAGACTGCTTGGGGTTCTGAGGAAGTGTGAGTAAGGGGAGGGAGGAAAGGAGTGAGGGACTGGAGGCAAAGGAGAGGAACAAAGACATAAGTTAACTTTATGAGAAAAGATGAACAGAACACATAAGAAATGACAGAAGGCATTAATTTAAATCAGTCAAATGTAGCTTTCTATATGTATAGTATAAAAGGGGGGGGGGGCAAGCCATTAGCTCGGCAAATGAAGACGTGACCTAAGATGCTCCATCATAAGAGGGGGTCATATGAAGATGAGGTGGCTTTAATTCGCAGTGACAGCTGCTTATGAGTTATCTGGGGAAGTGTAGCATGTAAATCACCGTCTTGCTGCTACTACAACCGCTACACCCTGGAGCACTCCAGGGACAGCAGAGGAGAGGAGTACGGCTCCATGGGCAAGCAAGGGAAGCATGGACACGCAGAGATATTTACATACAGTCAGACAGACTTCCTGGCATTGTCAGCCCGAGAGCGTTGATGTCAGATCCACTCCTTCCTGTGCAGAAGGGAGAACGCTATGCGATGACAATGGGCCCAAAAACAGGACAAAGAGGAAATGTTTAAATTTAGGCCCCCTTCTTCCACCATCTCCTCTTTCACGGCTATGGAGCTCTGGAGCTGTTTAGTTTTGTGAATTCCTTCAGCCCCCCCACCACCACCACCTCCCTGCCTCTCCAGAGCTCCCTCTCCCCATTGTGTCATTTCAATAGAAGGATTTTCACATTCAGAGCAAATCCCAAAGGAGGATCAGCTAGTGAGACCAGAGTTCAGTCAATCACTTGTTTTCACTGATGTTCCTTTAGAAATTATAAGTGCTTTCTCATAAACCCACCCAACAAATAGAAGAAAAGAGAAAAAACAAAAACATACATAAGTATGTGCTTAAAAAGCGAGTGGAAAACAGATGACGGGTTTTAAATGAGCTGAAGACTTAAAATGGGATTAAAAATGTGATAAATATTATTTATAAAATGAAATGTTTCCAGCATAATTTAGCTCTAAACGCGTTGTTATGAGCCTGTTTAACTCAAATAATTACAGCTGCTCTGCTGGTGTGCAGGCATGTGTGTCTAGGTGTGTGTGTGTGTAGGGGGTGTTGGTGTGTGTTTCTCTGTCTGCGTGAGAGCTTTATCAGAAATCAGAGTGTCGGCGTCTGTAGAAGCTTACAGGGCAAGAGTTCACCGGTTTGTCCAACTCGTTCTCGGAGTCTTGAGGATAGCGGACGGACTTTACGAGCCCCAAAACACACGTGATCGGCAAAGGAGTCGCTGCAGTCCACGACTTAACTCATGGATAGAAGTTAAGCCCGCAGAGGACGGCGGATAAGTCTGGCTGACGTTAATAGCGACTGCTGTTATTGACTTTGACGACAGCAGCGACGATGCCTGTTTGACACGGAGGGGGGAAGCTTTCTGCTTTCAGGTACGTTGTGAGCTCCAACAGCTAACTTCTCTTCAGGAAGACTCGGGAATTGTGAGGGAGAAGAAGACAGTTCGTTTTTCGCGGGTGTTACTTGACAAGCAAGTTTATGAAGTTCGTGAATTTCACAGCAAAGCCCACATCGGCTGACTTTTGCGCTATTTCCTTGTTTTCACTTTTTAAAACACTTTTAAGGTGGTTAAAAACTTAAAAGCCCGTTTTACACTTCAGCCTAGCGTTAGGCAAACGTTAATTTTATGACGCCATTTTTTTTAAATGACTTAAACGCCCAGTGCGGCAGCCGTCTGTCGTTCACTGACAGCGGGGTAGAGCGAGCTGCTGGTGCCCTTAAAACTTTTGTGACACGATAAATACTGAAAGCCAAAACTTAGTGAAACTTAGTGTATATCTCATTACAGTATAACTACCAAGCAGGGTGTATAACACTGAGCAAAACTCATAATGCTGCTATCAGAGAATAACAGTCTTTTAAAGCCATTTAAAAAAAAGTACATGCACTTTTCTGTTTAAATGCTAAAATAAATACTAGCTAATGTGTGTAATTAGACAGCGCTTGTAAAACTGTCATTTCTTCTTTTTCTAATTATTATTTTTTTTTAAACTTTTTGCGCAGCTACTGTTTATTTAAATAGCCCTCTGAAAGGCTTATCAGTAAATTGAATTGTAAAATTGTGCTGAGAGGCCAGCTTAATTGAAACGCATCTTTCGTTGTGATCTGAGGGAACAACAAAGATTTGTGCTGGGGGGCCTCCAATTACACAAAATGCTTCCATACATTTAAAGGGATTACAGTAGGAGGGGGTGCTATTAGCATGTGGTGGGTTCGCTGTGTCACCGAGCATCTTCTTCCTCAGAGGGAGCTTATCTGAGCTCTGATGATGTCACAGCTGGAGCGGGCCTGAAATAACCACACATCTCTGTAGTGGGTGTTTCCATGACAACACATCCTCTCGGTTTAAATGGTGGATGGCAACTGTGTCTGAAATAATTACTTTGAATAATATGGGCAAAATACTGGGAAAGTGGGGCGCTGGGTGTTGACTTGTTGCACAGACGTCTGACTCTCGCAATCACAGAATGAGACTTTGAATACTGTCATTGTGTTTCAGTATTTAAGCTCATTGTATTGGTTATTCTTGAATGTTTGACCTGCGAAAAAAATTCAGTTTATTTAATATCCTCCTCTGATATTTCCCACATTTGTGGTGCCCATCTACAGGCAGGCATTCTGAGCGAGTTACATTGGAGTAAGGATGATATAAAATGACAAGACAGTCAGTTTAATGTCAAACTCCTGAATAAAAATGTGGTTTTGTTCCTCTAGGTGATTGAGAAAGGGAAGGGCCTGAAACATGATGTCCATTGGAACTGATAGCTGACACCGTAGAATGAGAGAGGATGGAGCAGACAGGCAACCCTGCCCTTGAGAGCAACAACCCTAATGGGTTTGTCAACCGTGTGTTTAATGTTTCTCTGGATGTGGAGAATGAGACCAGCAGTGTTTATATTCAGGAGACTGGAACAGGGCCTGCAGAGGGGCAGGGAGAGACCCAGGCTGCCTCTTCTCAGACCCCTGTCAAGGACAGACAGGAGGTCAACAGGAGGCCTCGTGCCACAGGGGGCATCTGGAAGATCCTGAACCGAAAGCGAGCTGTCTCAGAGCTGGAGAGGAGACCCCACTCCATGATTTTGCCAGGGGAGGCTTCCATCCCGAAACTCTCATTCGCTGACAAAGTTCGATCCTTCAAGAAGCTTAAATCCCCAGCTGTATTCAGAGGGAAGGCAGGGAAATTGTCCACTGCAAAGTTTACCAGCTCTTTGGTGGATGAGGAGTCTTTCTGCCGCGATATTGGCACACCTCAGCAGCCCAGTGGTGGCACGCTTAGACAGCGTGGCCAGAGGCATTCGTATGCTGGCTATACAGCACAGTTTGACTGTTTGTTTGAAGACATTGACCTCTCAACTTCTATGGATGGCCATCAATCCACTGTAACGGGCGAGGCTGTGACTCAGAATGGCTGCAAATCATCTGAAAAAGTTTCCTATACTAAAAGAAGCCACAACAATTCAGCCAACTGCAACAAAACTGCTGCAGCTTGTGAAGAACTAAGCACTAGAGATAGCTCGAGGACCCACCGGAGTGGAGGAAGGAGGCACAAAGATGTGTGGAGTTACCTGAGGAGGATTTCCCTTTTGGGGAAGACCAATCCTGTGTATTCAGAGAGGAGCTTTGACTCTGAGCTTCCCTCTCTGGACAAAACAATAGACTCAGACTATGGCTCTGTGGACTTTGAGAGTGTCAGAGACTTTCAGCCACCTCCCCCAAAACAGTCGGACACCAAGGGGCACTTTGGTGGTCTCTTCAAATTTTTCAACAACTTTGCAGAGACAGCTAGACGATGGCGAACAACATCACGCTCCTTCTCTCCTCCGGAGGGGGAGAAGACTCCGATGAGCTCCCCACAGGCCCCACAGCGCGCAGTGGACAATGTTCACAGTGTGTCTCTGACACTTCACAATGAAGGACTTCCAACATCCCAGCCTACCCCTTCATCACCAGTCACTAGTAAATTCTTACACTCCAATAGCTTTGATGGTGACACTCCAGCACCTGTGACAGGTGGACGATCACCTACAGTGGTCCTTAAAGCCTTTAGGCCCTGCTCAGGACCTCAGGCTGTCAATGGTTTTCAGAGTTTTGAAGTTACAGACAAACCTGCTGACAGAGAGACAAACCTCTGGTCCGAGGCCATAGTAGAAAATCATGTCCCTCATTTAGGCTTAAACACGGAGGCTGAAAGTGAAGCAGAAGTTGAAAGGGACCAATCAGATTCTCTCTGTCAAGAGGAAAATGTAGCGGGACAGACAGGAAATGAGCAGGATTCCCAAGATGCTCCGCTTGACTCCCACCCGATACAGGAAGTGAATGTCCAATCACAACAAGGTGATAAAGAGAGCACAACCAATAGCGTACCAGCATCAGATTCCACAGAGGAAATATTTAAGGTAGGTAACTTTAAATAGCCAATGAGCCACCGAATTCAAATGAATGCATTCAGTAAACAAGTGTGTACTTTGTGTTGTTAAACCACCTTTGTTTTTCTGTTATTTTTTAGAGAAAGGCATTTTCATGTGTAAAGGGTCACGTTTTTATGCCATAACTACATTCCATTGCAGGCTTTTATTCACAATATTAACACTGCCAGAAGCATGCGACATGTCATTACTTCATAAATGCTGAAAATATCATTTATGTAACTGCTTTAATCATGGTCATTCTTTTGCTTCTGAAAAAAAAACAAACGTAGAAGCTAAAAGGGACCAGGGGTGATTTGGTTGCATGCAGGTAGCATACGTGTCAGAAAAAAACAAAAATCCTTCAAAGAGCTAGACTATGACATGATTTGGGCACCTGCTTTGCAGTTGTCCTTTTGCCCCATCTGTTGGAGAAAAGAGGAAATAGTAATTGTAAAGGTGCACAACACCATAGTCGAGGAATTTGGCCTTTTCTTGCTTAGTCGGCCTTTTGTAGCCTGCAACGAAACCCCACGTTTCCCACAGAGCCAGGCGTGTGTGTGTGTGGGACTGCGGCAGCCCAGAGTTCTGTGACATCCGCGCATCATGACAGCACCCTTCCCTTCTCACTCCAGTGGCAGAATTAGTCATCTCCCTTCTAGTCACAGCAACGAGTCAGGACATGTTGGCCCCAGCTCCTAATGACAAAATCAGATATGACATCTCAGTACTCAGCACACTTTCATAGGGGCTTATTATGCAAAGGCAAGGGCTTTGGGAGCATGTGTTTTGGGAAGGGTGCTAATGTTTGGTCCCACTGTAAATTAGCAGGGTTCTACGCTGATGCCACTCTTAAATGGAAAAGATAATAGGGGCAGAAGGAGGAATTAGCAGATAAAAAGAATTCATGTTTAACAGTATTACAAGATGTAACTTAACTTGAAGCCTACTGAAGAATTTAAAGATGGAAAATGTTTTGAGCCTTAAGAAGGGCAGAATTTCACTTATTTAACCCAAATCCTTTTAAAGGGCTTAGTAAACCTGCGTGTGTTTAGAGTTCTGCTTTTTGAAGTCAGTGAAAAACTAAACAAGTAAGCCTTAAAAGAGCTAGCTGAAATCTGTAGGGTGATAAATGTCAGCCTAATTAAGGTTCACAAGCCAAGTAGCTGTGGCATGAAAATGGAATAAAACACAACTTCATTTTTTTGCAGAACTGTTTGTGCCAAATGTGTACACAGATCAGCAGTAGAAGAAAAACTGCAAACACTGATTATGTATTCACACACTGACTTAACTGCAACCCACTGGCTTTGGGGGAACTTGTTTCCCTACTAATACAAGTACCATAATACTTAAAGCCTTGCTTCAAGTATTGTGGTACCTCATTAAGTGAAATTGATCTATTTAATTCAGCCGTACACTCGTGATTTTGAATGTGAGAGGCTGGTAGTTACAAAGTTTTTGCTGCTATCAGGTTTGTATCACCTGCTGTCAAGGTGATACAAACCTGACAGCAGCACAAATGTGTTTTGGCCTGTCATCAAGATAAGTTATTGAATTAACACAAGTTTGGCAAGAGCATTGCACATGGACAGCAAAAACTGTGAAGCTGTGTACACCGAGCTTTGCTAAAAAGAGCGTTACAGCTCAAAGTTGTGCCAAAATAATTTGTCACATTTACACTGCAAAGCCCTGTTTAGGGGACGTGATGGCGTGTGACTAGAAAATCCTTCTCAGTAATCACAAATTATTTAAAAATGAAATCCACATGTCTGTTGTGCTGATGTTTCCCTTGATTTGCCAACAGTCTTGGCATTCAGTTACCTACTGATCCACTGCAATTAAGCTACTGGGTAGAAACTTTAAAAATAAATAAAAAATTGAGGTATATTTTGTTGAACCTGCAGAGACATTTTTCTCAATTCCCTACACAAGAAATGCATTGTTGCACCTTTATCTGGGCCAAACTGCTGAGTATCTGTGCCAATCGCAGCTGTGTGAGCAGATTGCCAGCCAGACAGGCTGCAGTGTAAGACAGCCTGGCCCGGCCTTGCCCCACTCGAGCACAGAGAAGACCTCTGTACCTCAGAAGCGCTTGCGCCCTCGTCCTCGCCCGGCATCAGCTGTCCTGGACCTTTGGAGACCCAACCCGGACCGAGATCTCGACAGCCATTACAGTGAGGTCGGCTCACTTTCCCGAAGGAGACGCAGGCCTGCTACCACAGTGCAACACTCTCTGGGGCAGAGAGGGATGGCTTCCCGCACCAGGCCTTGCTCTGTCATAGAAACCAGTGTTACTAGGGAGACGCAGTCCACGGAACTGCATCACAGAGTAAGATGTTAACACAGGCATTCATTCAAAAACTCACTAAAAGCAAACATATAAATATGAACATAGACACGACAAGTAGTCCCATAAATATACCAACACATGCAGCTATATAAAGTCTATGTAGGTGTGTCTATTACACATAAATATATCTCATTTTTACACTGAAAAAGGGAAAAAAGGTAGGCCAAGTCTCACTAGTAGTCTCCACCAACTCACTGACAAATATAGCACAAGCCCATAATGAATCAAAGACACACCACAGACTATGAAGGGCATCCCAGTACTAACCCAGTATTTATATACCACTCACTGTTTAGCTGCAACAATGCTCAGCCTCTGCCTGCACTTTTGGATGCAGCTTTTATCCCTAGCTCTCATACTCCCTTTCTGCCTTTCTCTCTTTCTTTCTTTTTACTTTCTTCTGTCCTCCCTTGTGGTTCCCCTTTCTCTCTCCTTCACTCTCATTCTTTTTCTGTGGCCAATTTTCTGCCTCATCGCTTCCATAAGCTCTACCTCTCATTGCCCTAACTCAGAGTCAGTTCATTTTAACCTGAGAGACTGCCTGGTTGGCATGATGTATAGTCTCTCATGGTTTGCTGCAGGGCATGCACACTGACCAATGCACCAGAATAGACTTGCTGGATGTGAAATACTTTAATTCTCTGCACAAAAAAAGGAAAAAAAAGGGGGACAAGGCAGTAATGTGAAGGGCAGGAGAGAGTGTGCATTCAGCCTTGTGTGTGTGTGTGCGTGCATCTGAGTAACCGTGTATGGAATATTTGAGGTGTCCTGACTAGTCAGTGTTCTCCAGGCCTTGTCTCGCCCCCCGGGTGTGTCACCGTTAGAGCCCCCACACAGGGCGTCTCTCCAGCGGTGTCGCTCCCTGCCTCTCCCCCCCAGCACTCTCACTGCATTGGCCCTGCTCCTGCCACAGTCAGGTATTGTTCCATATTTTTATTCGTTTAAATATGCAGATTGTTAATTGATGTGTGCTCAATTCTGCATGTCTTCTTGTCTCTATCCAGCAGACATGGGGCAGTCCTCATCTTCAGTGCGCCTGCGATCTGGAGGTTCTGGTAGCTGCAGGAGGAGGAGGCTGTTAAGACCTGGGTCAGAACCGCTACAGGTCAACATAGTGAGTATGATATACACACACTTGCAAATAATGGCATTGCGTATTTTTATTTCTTTTATTTTCTTTTAGACTTTTCAGGCCTTTGGACAGATTTATTAAAAACAAAACACTGCACACAGTGGACGGTATGATGACTGATAGCTTCTCTCTGATACCGTTAATACTGGAGTTTACAAGGCGTTGCTCAGTGTTTCATCAGATAATGAAGGGACTGATCCGTGAAGATGGTGGCCACGTGGATTAATGTCACGCAGTACTCTTTGGCCATTACTCATCCTGAGTTGCACACCCAACATTTCAGATGTGTTGTTTAATGTGTCGTGTGCAATTCACTCAGACCAAATTGTTAATTTTCACAGCAGATAGAGAAATAGCAGTAAATTCTAAATAATACTCTTTGCATGCTGGATTCTCTAAAAACTGTCTAGAGTGTCAGTTGTGTAAAATTGGCTGTAGAGTATGCTGGAATAACGCTGCTCGGGAGGTGAAACCAGGCATTTCGGAATCGATGCTTTGAAGTGGAAGTGGCCTCTAGAGGATTCTAGTGAAAGGAGATACAGAGTCTTCTGATACATCCTGACAGGGTAGTGGCACACATTTCTAGTGCTGGGTCCAGCAGCTCTACTTACAGAACTATAATGCACAAGACAAACACTGTTTTTTGTTTTGAAAAATATTAAGAGTAAAAATAAAACCATCCAGAAAACAAAGAAAAGGAAAACAACAGAAATAGAGGTCAAGTGTCAGGAAACCACTCCTCTTTTTGATACATGTGACCCAATATAGCAAACAGCGCCCAAAAAGAGTCTGCAAACCTTTTCATACATTGTCTGGTTGTCTTCTTTATCTTATTCTTTCTACCCCCCAAAATTGCCATGATTTGTCTAACTTTGAGCAACATTTGAGGGTTTTTTTCTACCACTAAAATTATGCTTTTAGCTTTTTGAGACAAAAAAGGAAAAAATTAGGTTCCCTGATGTTTGTTCCTTTTTTAATATAACTGTGCTTTTGTGGGTACAATCCAAGTAGAAATGACTTTGGGTCTAATGAAATTTTTAATAATTTGCTCACATTACTTTTTCCAGAATGTTTTAATCTCTCTGCACTCCCAAACTCACTGTTCCTTTCACCTCTGTGCGTCATTCATTTATTGTAATAATTAAAGTGCTTTAATCTGAAGCGCATCTGAGTAGCTAATTTCCAATCCTCCGCTGAGATTTCAGGTTCCAAGTCTTTGTTCCATGTGTGTTCAGTTTTTCTAGGTCTCTAAAGAACTCAATATAAACTCGTAAAAGATGTTTTTTTACCCAGAAACAGTCTTTTGTCATCATTATTTCGACAAGTGTAGTGAGTGAATTATGTTTATGTGTTTTTAAAAAGCTCAAAATAAAAAAAGGCTTCTTTTCAGGTCTTTAACATCACAGTTTGGATGAGACAGCTCTTAAGCTCTTTCATTGCTTTAGAGGGCCAAAATTTGAATGTAGAATCTGAATTTCCTGCGGTGTAAAACCGGTTAGACCACACTGTGACAGAGTCTCTTTGTTTTAAAGATTTTTCTTACTTTATATCAGAATGGAGCTACATGTTTAAAAGTCAGCTTACCAGCCTGCTTTGGGGTAAATATGGAAACTTCAACGAATATTATTTATTTGTAGTATCAGAAAAGTATTTTTTTTTACTCAGAAATCAAATAATTCAATTCTTTTAGTTGCAAATGTATATTGCTACAAGTTGCATTTTCCACATCAGTCTCAAATTTCCAGTTATTTACAAGCAGTCAATGAGGACTGACTACAATATATGAATTACATTAAGGTGTCTCTTCTCATAGCAGTGATGCTGTCTGCTCAGCTGCTGAATTATAATCCCCGGGCTTTCGGTCCTGGCATGTCTTCCCATTGAAATTTTGTAAGCTGTGCCTTTGAAGAAGTGACACTACTGCATTTATAGGCTTTGATTATAACTTTTTTCTCCTGCTGATCTAAATAGTGTTTGTGAAACACTGCGCACTGTTGCCATGACACTCACTGGCTCCAGTTCATCTTCTTGCTTCTATCTTTAGGCAGCCTTTTTAAGCGTGAGCTAAATAGAGAAAGTGTGTGGGTGAGAGAGAGAGAGGCAGAGAAAAAGGGGTGGGAGAGAAAAGAAGAGAGATGCTCCCTTTGTCGTGGTCCTCCCCTGGGGTAGGAAACATGGACACATAACACTGGCAGTGTCTTATGTGTGCGGTTGAGTGGTGAGAAAAGTTTATTTGGAGCAGGCTCAAACGCTGGGATCTAAAATAAAATCAGTAACGATAGCTTTATTGTCATTATAGTTACTGTTTAACAAAATTTCATATGACTCCTTAAAAAGCAAAGGAGTGCATGGTGACTTAACCTGATAGTATATAGATGATTGATAGATGGATCTCTCTGGGTCTTCATTGTTAAAAAGCTCTTGTTTGTGATACAGCGTAGTGTATATTATAGTCTTCCTGTTAGGATGACTGGTAGAGGCCGGAGGCCGCAGGCACAGAGAAAGCATTCTCACTGCAGTGGATTAACTGCTAATGCTGACGCCTCTCTTCTCCCTTTCATTTAAATGGATTTCTCCCCCAGTCAACCTCCTCTCCTCGTCTCTCGTCTCTTCTCCTCTCCTTTCCTCTCCTCTGACAAACTCTGGCAATAGGCGTCTTTAATTCCTATGCAGATGAGAGGACAGTTTCCTGTGTGTTACTAATGCTGTGCCTGAAGCTCTGCTGTCAGCTTGTCAGTGAAGGGGACTGTCTTATTAACAGCTTCATGCAGATTAAGAGTTTCAACAGAAATCTTCTATGATTAAGTTTGGGCGAACCTAGGTCTGTCTGGACATAATCATATTATGCAATGCTATCTATTTATTATGAACGCATGACTCAGCAGGCAGTGGTTAGCTGGGCAAGAAATGGAGCAATGATGAAAAAGGACAACGTCCTTATGCACACACTTAAACACACGCGGGAAGTACCAGTGCTCAAAATTTCTGTTCGCTAATTTAATCGGACACACTCGCAGATTTCGTTTGTATTTGCATCCTGGGTCTTTGGCCCCCATGTGATACACCCTCTTTGCAACCCTCTGATGCACACACACACTTCACGTGCTCTTTTGATGTATTCAGTATTCATCTGTCAGGATGTATGAGTCATTGCATTGACAACTTCATTATTTGGTGCGGAATGAACAGCACCAGCTAGTGATATTTCTGTCAACCACACTATGAATGTGTAGCGTTTGTTTCACCCTGGGCTTTATTTTAGAGTCCTGAGAGAGAAACCATGGGAATAGCTCCACCTCAAAATAACTGCACGTTTGTTCAGTTTGCACTCAGAGCCAGTGGCGACCTAGAATCCTTTATCAGTGTTCATTCAGCATTGTTCCTCAGTCAAGGTGCTGTAACTTACCGCAGCCACCAGCTAATGCTGTTTTGTAGGACGCTGTAGAATCTGATAAATAGCGGTGCCACTGACTAAACCCAAGTAGATGGTTGTGTCAGAGCCTCCCCAGGCTGTTTCTTCTTAAGAATGATTTTCTGCCTGTCAGGTGTGTGCATGTTGTTGTTAATGGCGCATAAATGCCCATGTGACTGTGCTTACATGTATGGGTGTGTGTTTCTGCGTGTCAGCGAGTGAGGCAGAGAGGCTAAGGGCCTTTCTCTTATATAACTGAGGAGAGCGTTGCCTTCACTCCCTACAAAACCCATTTCCACTTTTCAGATGGCTGCACGTTCCCTGGGACTGGAAGAACAGTGCCTGCGTATTAATTCTCTGAGTCACTGGTGTATCCTGTTTTACAGTAGCTCCGCATTACACTCTGTGTTTTGTCAGAGCATGCATGCCTGTGCAAGTACTGATTTGCCTTCATGCTTTCTTGAAAAACACTCCACTGTTCTATCTCTCAAGCTGTGATATGTTGTTGACAGTGTGGGACAATGGAGAAATACTGGTGGATGATTTCAGCAATATCACAACATGCAGTCATTTCACCTATGAGACCGTTTCAGACCTAAAGGACTTAGGGCTTGTTATCCAGCACCAGTTGTAGTTTCATGTGTACAAGTCTTCCCTGGTTGATTTTACCCACAGCCATCACTGTCCACTGCTAGTGCTAGTGTAGCACCTTGAAGGTGCACTGCATTGTCCTGTATAATATATAAAACCAGTTAAACTAGGTTTATGAGAGAGACTTGTAATGATGCCAGGTTTAGCAGAGAAAGCTGTAATTTGAATTGCCTATACAGAAATAGGTTAGAAAATACAAATGTCAATAAATAAAAAGTAGCTAACTTTCAATATGACACATATTCATAAGGAATATGTGTAAAATATATTTATTATATTTAACAATTTATTAAAATAGCTGACCCTGGATGTATTCAGTTAATATTGATGGTCAGCTCTTTGAAACCCCTATGTTATCTGTGATTCTTTACTCTCTCTGTGCACATTTAGAGACAGTCACTCTGATTTGAATTACTTTAACTAACTTAATCTGCTGAGTGTTTGGAGTCTGAATAAAGAAATAGCTCCGGCCCTGGTCACTTTATCCTGCATTAAAATAATGAGACAGAAGCTAACTGTCTGTACAGTGTTCTCCTAGTTAGAATGTATCCTGCAGGCCTCTGTGAAAGATGGGGTGTATTTTTCTGGCAGCTGCCACTTCTTGTGTACATTATTTAGC